TGGCTCAAATCTCACTGTGCCTTGGCCGTAATCACATTCATCCGGGCTATTGTTAGTGCTGCGAAGGGCTGAAAATTCAATTTCCGAGAGTGAAGGGTGCTAAAGTGGATCGCCTTCGATGTTCTCATGTACTTTATAGCCTCAAGGTCTTAGAATGAATTTTTGTACTTTCCATCTCATTTCTCCGCCTGAGGCTGAAATCTCCTAGGAGATACATTTTTTGCAGAAGGACTTGGTAATTACGATGTATTCCAACCAAGGTCACAATTATTTTCCTTTTCTCTGCTGCCAACTTTTTTCAAATCTCTTCTCTGTCTCTTAGCCCCTTGATTTCACTTGTATTTACTTATTCTTCTTATTTCTTATTTTTTTAAATTAATTTTTTGTTCTCCATCTCCATCTGGTACTCGTTTAACAGCTAAATTTCCTCCAAATCTAATAATTCTTCAATTTCAGATGAACTTCCTTCTAGCATTATTGCTTATACTTCCAAACATTGCCGCTTATTTCGTCTCACAATGGAAATCGTTACGAGAAAATGTGGAAATTGTTTCCGATGTTGGTCCTGGAAATGAGAAGAGGTGAGGGATACTGTAGCTCTTTTTTAGCAGAAATAGAAAAAATGGTGTAATGTTTCAGATTTTTATATTCACACAATAGTGATGGACCACTATTTCTTTTCGTCACTCCATGCAGTGGTTCCGTACATTGGAGATTGTACGAGTTTAAAGGAGGTAGGAATTACAAAATGTCCTTTAACAATGTTTCGTGGTCGTGGTTTTCATTATACGAACTTGATCCGCTTTTTTGAACTGATCCATTACTTCGTTATTGGTCGAATCAGTGAACTAACCAATAGTGAACAGGAAGTGGATCAGGTGGACATCCGTTTCGCTATTGGTCATTCACTGGTTTGACCAATAGCGAAGTGAACTAAGTGGATGATGACAACGAAAATGACGCTCTTCAAAGGCAGGGTGTTCAGCTCGCTTACGGTAGGCATACGGTAAGA